TAGTTGGTTTTAAATGCTCACTGTTGAGAAATAGGAAAAAGGAAAGTTATTTTCAGCATTTTCATTCTTATTTTCCTGGAAGATCTAGCTGATGTAATTAGAAAAGAAAACTAAATGATTTCTTGTAATATGACTTAATTACCTGGAAATCCCAATTAAAAAAACCCAAGGTAATTAGAACTAATAATTTTAATAAGGGTGTAAGTCATAAAGTAAACATACAAAAATTAATAAATTCATATATGCCAGCAATGAATAGAAAACAAAATGAAAATTTTATATCATTCATAATTCAATAAAAATAACAATTACCTAGAAAGAAAGTTAATAATGTGCAAGTCTGACATGGAGAAAATTATAAAATTTTACTAAGAGAAAAGGATGAACAATGAAATAGATTAAAAATAGGTATTTTCCCATAGGGAAAAATAAAATATTATAAATGTATTCCAAATTAATTTATAAATATAATGTAATTTTCATCAAAATTTTAATAGAAACTTGTGAACTTGAAAATATTGTATGAAAGTTCAGCTAGAAAATTAAATGTGTGATTATCCATGGTAATTTTTGAAAGAACAGTTATGAAGTGAGAATATATTCCATGTATTATAGCTCTAAAATAATCTAAGTTTATCTGAGCTAAATAGTAAAGCACTGTCCCAAGATTCAGAAAACAGAGAAGTGGAATAGTGGAGAATACACCCCAAAGACCCAAAGGTATTTAAAAATTTAATATATGACAAGATACGGTCTTTGCTGTCAGTGGTGAATGAGTAATTAGTGCATGGTGCTGCAGCAAGTAGTTAACTATTTGAGATAAAACGTATAGATTGCTGGTCTACATTACATAACAGTAGCCAGTAATTTTCACACAGGGACATATTTAATTGTAAATCTCAAATATTTGACATTTTGGTTTGGGGGGTGGGCTTGAACAATATTCTAAGAACATACTCATTATGTCTACAGAGACTTGAATTAGTGCTGAAGATTTTTTTTCTTCTAATGGTAGGAAAAACTTGAAAAATGCTTGATCATTTAACAATAAAGGTTAGATTTAGCTTAGGAGTAGTTTAGCAGAATATTATGCTACCGGAAAGAAAGAGAGAGAAAAATGAAAGGTGGAGGAAGGGGGGAAGGGAAAGGAAGATGAGATTAAGATTCAGGTTTCCATAATTAAAAATACATACGTACATACCACATGACACACACAAAAATGATAGAGATTTAACAGAATGTTGACAGGAATTAAGGCTTTAAAGGTTATTTTCTTGTCTCTGTTTCTCTTTTTCATAAATGATATATGTATTGTTAATTTTATAAGAAAAATTACAAACTCAAACACAGTAGATTATAGATGTCTTTAACCCTATTTGATATACATCATTATCCAAACCATTTTTGTGTGATTTTTATAAAGAATAATAACAAATTTTTATAAAGGATCAAGAATAACAAAATATGATGAAATGAAGGTTTAGACTTACAATAAAGATGTTTTGGGTTTTTTAATTGGAAAAAGGAGATGGACTATTTATTTTTATACAGCAGAGTTAGGATCATACTAGATTGTCTTCTTCAAAAGATCAGTTCTGCATTTTCAAAGGAGACTGGCAAGAGGGGAGAATTTCAATAGCAGAAAAAGAAAGTATAGCTAGATATCAAGGGCAGTGTGTCAGTTAATCACTAAAAGTGACTAATAATAATTTGGTCAGTTTCAGGCACCAGTTTTAATACCCACTTCAAAATAATTACTATGTAGGCTTAAACATTAGTTTGAAAACAAGTAACTAAACATACAAGATAACAGTGTAATAAGTATACAGCCTGTTCATAGGTTGTGTACATAGGTTCTCCATCTCTTATTGCTAGGAGGGATAGCCTTACACAGTTATATTTTTATCTCAGAAATGAAATCCACTAAGTCTTTCATTCCTTATTCTGGCATCATTGTATGCATAGTATGGAAACGAGTGCCGTTGAATATAGGTTGTGTATAAGCTCCTCAGGAGACATACATGACTTAAGCCAGTTTCTCATTTATAATAGAAGAGATAAACCATGGAAGAGATAAACCACCTACAGCAACCATTTTCAAAGTGTGCATGGTAGTGAGGAAAGAAATCTGTTTCACCAGGATTTTCTTTGCTAAAATGTGGGGCACAGTTTAGAAAATGCATTTGCATTGGAGGTATTTCACACTTGCTATGTTTTACAGCAACGATATAAATACAAATTTGAGTAGAGGACTGGATATATTTTTATTAGTACACCTTCACAGGTAGAAAGGGATTTTGGCAGGGAAGGCATCTGTGCAACAGCATGAGCATTTTCCGTTTCCACAAGTTGAAATTGATGGAAAAATACTGACATGCTTGGCTTCTTTACTTTTATCTCTTGTAAGAAAAGGTATTTCTCTCTCTTCCTCCCTCCCTCCATTTTTTGTCCAAAAGCTTTATTCAGTTAATTTTTCACATAAAATTTATAACCCATGAACTATAAATGAAACATGAGGAACTCAGTCCATTCACATAGTTGTATGAACTTTAATAAGGTGTTTAAGTGTAATGTTTGAACAACAGCCTAAGAATGACCTATAAAATTACTTTCAGTGGCTCAGTAGTCAGTGTTGTGGACAGGAATTGGCCTGGATTCCAGTAATCTATTACTCTTCCTTGTTTTATGCTGATTATTAAAATGTTTTAGTAACAATTTATCAGAGTTTTTAGTTTTAGTAACAAAGTATCAGAGTTAAAGAGTTCAGAAGTTTGCATTGGGCTGTGTCTGGTTTGAGTATTGCTCTCTATCTTACAACTTTGTGACTTGAGGTAAGGTCATATTCCCCTTTCAAGTCTCAATTTCCTCTCTTGTAAAATGATTTAATAATAGTATAGTATCATATTGTATAGTGAAGAATATTTACTGATGGTTAGATAAGGCAATACATATAAAACTTTTACAACATTCTTGGCATGTGATGAAGAGTTAAATAGTAGATACTATCTCTAACGCAATAATGATAGGAATATGTAAACACATTTTCTTAGGATGATGCGGAAAATGTTTTTGCTAATGCGTCAAAAAGAACTTGGAAAGTCAAATGTGGAGAATGGGTAATCATAGTAAGAAAACCCACATTTTTCTCTCCTTTGATTGTCATTAGCCCCATACATTAAGTGCCCATGCTGATCCAGGGATCATGCTAAGCAATGCACATTTGTATTTCCTGCCTCTCAAAACAGTCTTACAGGAATTAATAAGGTAGCCAACTCAATGAGGTAAAATACTCACCAAAGTAAACCTAGTGAACAGAGAAACGTCAGGCTTTGAATTCAGATCTTCTCAATGCCAAATCCCATTTTATTTGGATTGCACCTCACTGCCCCTAGAACTGAGGAGTTCCTCAGATGAAGACCATCAGGAGTCTTGAAGGCTCTCTCACGCTGGCTTTGGACTTTTAGTCAGGGACACATGGCCTGCCCCTAGTGGTCATAGAGCAGAACTGCATCAGGGCTAGGCTGCATGGAAAATAGTGAGTCATCTGAGGGACCACTTGACTTGACTGTAATGGTAACCTAGAAAAACTGGTGAGAAATGAGCTTTACAGAAGTGGTGCCCAGCTTTGAACAATGGAAAGTGGATAAACTTTAGGCAAACTGTCCTGGAAAGAGAATAATAGGTTAATATTGAGTAGAATGTTTAGGGCTCAAAAGAATTCAGAGTGTGGCTTTGATATTTTGGAGCAAAGACTTGGACTGTTGGGCTTTGTCTGAGCAAAGATCAAAACGGGTTTTTAGATCCATGAGAAATCCTTATGATAAAGCAAGGGCAAGTCCTGGAGGGTTTACAACCAGAATTTTGTAGGAGTTGATCACTCTTATGATCAGTGTACCAATCATGGTCTGCTGCATACTCGTGTTAAGAGAAAGCGCTAGGAGGCATTGTGTTGTAAAAGTAACTAGCTCAGAGATCCTGAAATCAGGCCATAAGTCATCATCTTTGAGATCTTCTCAGGTATTTGGGGTCCTGGACAAATTTTTTTTTTTAAGGGCCTGTTTCTATATACATAATTTGATTTAACTGAAGTTAGTCTGTGAGGACTACTCAGGTGTCTAATCTCACATGATCCTAAGAAATAAATACTGTGCCAGCCAAGGGGAGTAATCTGCTTGTTAGGTTTCCCTCTTGGAGCCAGGTTCCTGCTGTAGGAGGATCTATATAGGCACAAATTCTAGAACCCCTTGAAACATCTGAGTAACCCATGGGAAATAGAGAGTTCTCTAAAAGAAAAAAGGGGGGGGGGCAGATTAGAGGTCCATGTGGCTTTACCCAGACTGTCAACCCTCTCTCAGAATCCAAATGGAAACTTAGATAATTTTGAGAAAGGCCCTCTGAAGTACAGGAACCACTGAAGCGATGGCATTGGGTCAAGGAACCCCCTTGCCTGGGTCTAAGGATGCTACTGAGCTGCGTTCATTCATTGAGCTTGTTAATGGGAAGAAGAAAGTAAATAGTGCATCTAGCTTGCTTAGATATGTCCTCACAGGTGATCAGCACTCAATCAGTGTTAGACAGTAATGACATCCACCAATATTCATAAGATGTATCAACTAAGACGATCTCTGTGCACACTCCAGTTAGGCTTTTTGTGTCTTTTGTTTCTATCAGTTTATGAGAAGTAAAGCATGGTTCACAATGTTAACCAGAATGGTTCTAATTTTTTTTTCTCCTCACCACCATGACCTTTGTAATTCTCATCCCATCCTCATTCTTTTTTCCAAGAAGAGAAAATAAAATGCTAAGGCACAAGAGTAGATGCTTTTTGTGCCATTAGGAAGTGGTTGGTTGCATTTAGGTGGTCTACTATTCCATGTGGTGTTTGGCAAAGCACGCTTCCTCTCTGGAGCTCAGGCTCTGTGTTTAAATTGTCGTAAGTATAAATGAATCTCTCACATCCTGATGGTGTGCTCTCATGCAGTGCTTTCTTGTCTTTTCAGATCCCCCAGATTAGTTATGCATCAACGGCACCCGAGTTAAGTGATGACCGGCGCTATGACTTCTTCTCTCGTGTGGTCCCACCCGATTCCTTCCAAGCCCAGGCCATGGTAGACATTGTAAAGGCTCTAGGTTGGAATTACGTGTCTACTCTCGCCTCTGAAGGAAGTTATGGAGAGAAAGGTGTGGAATCCTTCACGCAGATTTCCAAAGAGGCAGGTAGGAAGAGATTACAATGATCAAGATGACCCTCTTCCAATGTCTTCAGTTTGTAGATTTCTTTCAATCTTTATTGAGCAAACGTTATTGCTAATCACTCAATCCCTACTCTCACATTCCCCACTGCCTATGAAGTAAATCTGTAAAATCTTCATCCACAACACTTTGTTGTTTTTGAAAAGAATGTCTTCAAAACAATGAAACTGAAGTCCCTTAAAGTATTACTAGAAGAAATAGAAAAGAAAATGTGTACTGAAACTGTATCTTACTACTGTGTCATGAATAATAGTGTGGATACAGCCGGTATATGGAAACCTGAGCATGTATGGCTAAATGTGCCTCTTCGTGCATGCCTTTCCTTCTGCCCCTCTCCACAATGGGGAGAATTGTTTAAATTGCAAGAACCCAATCATAGTGACACTTTGCTTTGAAGGCAAATGACAGTGAGGGTTCTGAACGACTTGGCCAAAACAAAATTAAATCAATTATCCAGGCAGTAGAACATATTTAGACAAATAGTCTTTGAAACTAGATTCTCTTGAGAAAGAGGGTTCTATTTGGTAGCATTTAGAGAAGATTCTTTTATGTTTGTTTATTTAGCTCAAAATGGAGGTTTAAATGTTTGGCCAGCTGGCTTCCATTGGGCAGATTTTGAAAAATGAGACAAACCCTTCAAACTTAGGAATCCTGACAATAAATATGCTGGTTTCCCCATATGGAAATATTGGATCTTGTAAACATATTTTTTAAAAAAAAGCATGCTTGTGTATTCCTAAAAAGTTCTTATGCTAAAGTTGGGTCCTCAGTTTTGGTGGTAAGAATATTATCCAAAGTATCATTGACTGGAGTAGTTAACTAACCCTAAAGCAAACAAGTAAGCCAGGTAATAGAAATATAGGTTTGTTTCATGTGGAAAGTTGTCATAAATCCTGAAGACATGGCTTTGAATATTTGATGGTCAGACGACAGATAGACTCAGTTGTATAAATGCCCCAGTTTATAGATGGCATGTCTGCATGTGGCTACTGAAAGGAAGGAGCTGGACTTGCTTATGAATCTTGTGTTTTTAACTCAGTGCCTCATCATTGATTCTAATTTCAAAAATTCACTGGAGAGCTGAGTCATACTCTTCCTTGTGACTGAAATACTCTCACCTTTGACTGCGTAGCTCCTAGTCACTGATAGGTCTCCCCCGGAACACCATTTCTACCTTCAGACAAACACATTCACAGAGCATCCTTAATTCTGCCTGCTTGGTCTTGTGTTTCTAGCGTCTTCTCCCACAATACTGATCACATGTTAGCACAGTTTGTTGTTGTCATTTCCTGTCCGGTCCCCTAGACTCTAAGAGAGATCATGTCTGAGTCACTGCTGTAGTCTCAGCTGCTGTGTTTCTAAGGAAAACATTTCTGGTGTAATTCAGTGAGAAACTTACAGATTAGGAAATAAATCTTAACTCTGGCCTTGTGTCTTGTATGCTGTGATTTATAGGACTCGTTAACATCCAAATTCATGGATCTGTAAAGAAAAACTCATCATTTTTGATAATGTGTTTTTATATGTCTCTTTGTTTTTTTGACTTCTGCTCTGACCAAAATAATGTTAGAGGCCGACTTAGGAACATATCTAAAATATGGGCATAATAGCCAAGATGAAGAGAAAATAGAAGTAAAATAGTAAGATAAAGCTCAGAAATAAAGTTTGAATACCATCTTGTTCTACATAATTACTGTAAGTGGATCTCAAATTTAATACTGAACTTTGTTCTAGACAAAGAAAAGGGCACTACCCACTTTGTTACAAAATGTACAGTGTTCATAAGGTCAGAATTATGTTGATTGTTCAGTAAAGGACAGAATCAAGACAAATATTTGCGTTTATAAAAGACTATATTTTATAGACAGGTCAGTGGTAAGTTTCATGTTTTTTTATTCCTGGTGTCACTTGGTGAAAGCTTAAGTTGTAAGAGTCTACTGTATAATGACTCTTCAAAGAGGAGAAGCCCTTGTAATATTGTCTGAACATCCTGGTTCATAATTTTATCTAATCATACATTGAAATGCTCAAAAAGAAAATTATGTTATTGGCAGCCATTATTTATTTTTTTTAATTAAAGTACAATCAGCTACAATGTGTTGATTTCTGGTGTACAGCACAATGTCCCAGTCATATATATACATATATATATTCATTTTCATATTCTTTTTCATTAAAGGTTATTGTAAGATATTGAACATAGTTCCCTATGCTATACAGAAGATTTTTAAAAATTTGTTTTTAATATATAGTGGCTAACATTTGCAAATCTCAAACTCCCCAATTTTTCCCTTCCCACCCCATTTCCCCAGTAGCCATGAGATTGTTTACTATGTCTGAGAATCTGTTTCTGTTTTGTAGATGAGCTCATAGTGTCTTTTTTTTTCTTTTTTTTAAATATATGAATGATATCACATGATATTTTTATTTCTCTTGCTGGCTTATTTCACTTAGAATGATGATCTCTAGGTCCATCCATGTTGCTGCAAATGGCATTATTTTATTCTTTTTATGGCTGAGTTGTATTCCATTGTATAAATATACCACAACTTCTTTATCCAGTTATCTATCAACAGACATTTAGGTTGCTTCTGTGTTTTGGCTATTGTATATAGTGCTTCTATGAACATTGGGGTGCATGTATCTTTTCAAACCAGAGTTCCCTCTGGATATATATCCAGAAGTGGGATTGCTGGGTCTTTTTTTGTTTCTTGAGGAATCTCCATACTGTTTTCCATAATGGCTGCACCAAACTACATTTCCACCAGCAGTGAAAAAGGGTTCCCCTTTCTCCACAGCCTTTCCAGTATTTATCATTTGTGGACTTTTGAATGATGGCCATTTGGACTAGTGTGAGGTGATACCTCATTGTGATTTTGATTTTGGCAGCCATTTTGGATGAAATCCTTCAATCTGAAAGCCTTTGAGTTTAAGAATGAGAGTAACTAAAAAGTCAGCTGTAGAAATGCAAGAAAAAGCATTGAGAATTCAGGTGAAGTCTTACAGATCAGTCCTTCTTCTCCTATAAGTAATATGATAGTTTGACATGTATGTATAATAAATTTCATTGGAATTGTATGTGCAATTAATTTAAGTGAATTCACTTGTGTGCTTAATAAACACTCCTATGTCCAACTCCCTACCCACCAAAAAAGAGGAAATAAAGAAAAGGAGGGGAAATTATAATTAAAAAGATGTGTGGTAAGTCTACTCACTCAGTGTGTGTATTACTTAGAAAAAACTCAAGATACATGGTTTCCTGAGAGGAAACATGATTCCATCATTTCTTCAGTGAATGTCAGTTCTGTGGGCCGCTCGCATTGTGAGCATCTTGCTAGCCCAAAGGTAACTCCAGTATATAGAATAGTATGAATTCATATTCCATGAACTCTGAGTAGAATCCAACTACCTCCTCTGATGTTCAGTCAAAGAAACAGCAGTATATTCTAACTAAGAATAAAGGCAAAATAATTTAAAAACTTTGCCCCAGTGGATATTTGGGGAAGTATACATACTTAGGGAATTTTAGGGAACTTTCAAGGGTAATCTTCAGTGTTCACTTTTTCCTTTGCCTGTTGATTCTAGAACCTTACTCTCAACAAAAGGTACAAGCCCATGTGTACGTGTAGAAGAGGCAGTGTGGCATGTGGATAAGCAAGGACTATGGTATCAGAGACCTGGATTTGAATAATGGGCCCCATCACTTCTATGCTGTAAAACTTTTGACTTGTGATTTAACTTTTCAAGCCTCAGATTCCTCATGTAGAGAATGAGGGTAGGGATGATCAGGTGGGTAGAATAAATAAGATCATGTTTGGGGAACACGTCACACCCAGTGATGCCTGATTATCAGTGGTGCACATAGTTTCCTATAAATGAGTAGAATTGTTGCTTGAGTTTGAAAAGTTTGAAAATAACTAGAGTGATAGATAACATTTTCTTTTAGTTAAAACTCAAAGGTTATTTATATGTATAAATAAATATATATATATATATATTTTATATACCTATAACTATATAAGATGCAATGCAAATAACAGCTGAGTTACTATTCTTACTAGTATGTTTCCATCATATAAGAAGCATAACAAGAAAAAGAAGTGAGCTATTCAAGTTGTCCTATGTATGTGGGGGTGGGGTTGTGTATGTGTGTATATGAGAGAGAGACAGCAAGCAAATATAAACTCAAAGTCCTGGCAGACTCCAAGGACTTCCTTCCATTCTTTCTAAAGAGTTTGAAGATTGAGATTCTTCTTTATAAATATTTATAAGAGCTTCACTCTTTTGAAATGCTTTAGTTCCAGATTTTAGGTTTAAGTCCTGAAGCACAGGCTGCTTCTAAAACTGGAGCCTGAAGTATCTCCATGCACACAATCTGAACAGGGGGTGAACTCTCTTTTGTCAGACTCCAGTAGAACAAATGAATACAGTAATGTCAGAAAAAGAAGCCATCCTTCAACAGGAGGCCACCTAATTTGTCTGGGACATGTAAGCTTACATACACTTTCTCTAAGCTGTCAGAGGAAACCTCAGTAATTCTCTTCTCATGTATAGTCCTGGGAGCTTTAAATATGCATGGACTCTGCTCCTGGTTGAACTTTCAGAATTGTAACATGATTTCCTCAGATGATGAGATTTTTTGTAAAACAGTTATATTTGCATAAATTGCCCTGTTTATCTGAATGGATGCACATGCGACATCAACAAAAGCAATTTATTGGTTAATATCACAGAGAATAAGAGAATATTCACTTCCAACATGTTTTACAATTCAGGTCAACATAATAAACTAAACAGAATAAATTAGACATAAAGACTCCTTTTTCTAAGTGAGGGTCAGAGTAAATGCTTATGATAGCATAGGGCAGTAATACATTATAGATCTTTTGAATCAAGGATTATAAGAGTAAGGACATCATATATATCTCTTCTGGTTTGCCAGACAGTTTTCAAGGGAATCCCAT